ACGTCAACAAGTTGGCGGAAGGCCAGGCGCACTGCGACGTCCGCAGCGTCGAAGTGAGTCCTGACCACAAGTTCCTCGCGTACTCGGTGGACTTTCAGTCGTATGAAACGTACGACATTTACGTCAAGGTACCCCAGGACTCTGAAAAATTGCAACCAGAACTCATGAATTTCATAGGATTTGACCACGAACGGTGTCACTAAAGTTGTGACAGGGTGCGACGGCGGGTTTGAATGGGGCCATGACGCATCCACGTTGTTCTATGTCACGCAAGACGACGCCCACCGCAGCCACAAGGTGTGGTCGCATGCGTTAAGTGACACATCAGGCCAGTCAAGTGACACGTGTCTCTTCACCGAAGCCGACGAAATGTTTCGCTGCGGCGTCTACAAAACCCGGTCTGACCGGTTCCTAGCGATTGCCACGTCATCGTCCGTGACCAGCGAGGTGCACGTGCTGGACCTGCACCAGCCCCCCGCTGCCGACGGTTTCATATGTGTCGCCCCCAGGCAAGAGGTATGATCCTCGAAATGTGGCTGACTTTTGTGCTGATCCGTGAAATCCATCGATCGACCTTGTTTGTACTGAAGTTTGTATGTAAAAAGTTGGCTTGTGGTGATTGGAATCTTTACACTAATTTCTGGCACACACTAATTTGATGGTTGGTCATGGTTTCCTGCAATCTGATTGGCTAGATTCTTGTGTACATTTGTTTGGTTGTGTGTCGGTCGATTCATTCTCCATGAAACCCCGAATTATAAACACATCAAGACGAGATACGGTGGTGGTTGCCTGAATGTTACCAATCCGCTTTGTCTTTTTCGTTACGGATATAGGGAGTCTTGTACGACGTGAACCACTGGCACGACTCGTTTTTGATTTCGACCAACCGCGACGACGCACGCAACTTCAAATTGGTGTCGGTGCCGGTGGATGTCGTGTTTGATAAACAAGCTACGGCAGAATGGACCCCGGTGTTCCCGTACGACCCGAGCGTGAAAGTGGACGGCGTGTCCTGCTTCGACTCGTACTTTGCGCTATTTGGCCGCCAGCATGGGCTTACGCAGCTGTGGATCTGCTCCTGTATGTACACTTCATATCCAATTCTTCAGTGTTTATACATATATCGTGAATGCGATCGAGTCGAGTGTTCTGCATATCGGAATCGATATGAAATTATCCCTCCTTTTTTGTGTATATATATCGATACCGATATGGGGGTCCCTCATCTATTTTTTCATATATCGTTACGGATATGGGGTCACCGTCCAATCTTGATCTATATGGCTGAATATCAAATGGATACGTCGATTTGACCGAGACTTGTTCATCATAATGCATACACTCTGTACAGTACATATCGAATGGGTATGTTTTGATGGTTCCACGTTGTATATGAAAGACATGATTCCATTGTTTTGATATCGTTACGGATATGGACACAGACGACACGGACGGCAAGACCGTTGTGAAGAAGCAACTGGACATGCCTGAGGATATGTATACTCTGGGTGGGTCTGTCAACATGGAGTACAACAGCGTCGTCCACCGCTTCACGTATTCGTCTATGACGACGCCGGTGCAAACGGTCGAATATGACACTGTGACCCACACCACGACCATCTTGAAGGAGACGCCCGTGCCCAACTACGATCGGTAAAACGAGAAAAGAACTACGGATGATGGAATACCCATGTTTCGTAGGTCGTTGTACCAATGCGAACGCGTCGACGCCACCGCGAGTGACGGCACGATCATTCCGATATCGCTGGTGTACCGAAAGGATAAAAAGAAACCGGATGGCCAGCCGCAAGCTCTGCATTTGTATGGATATGGGTCGTACGAAATCCCCATTGGTATGCTTTAAAACGAATCGCTGGGTCGTAATACCGGATGTATTATATAGATCCGGACTTTCGCATTTCCAACCTGCCCTTGTTGGACCGCGGCGTCGTGTATGCGATCGCGCATATCCGTGGCGGTGGTGAAAACGGACGCACGTGGTACGTCCATATCGCTTAGGAGAAATGAAGTACGAATTCAATGGTCTTTTAGGTATGAATCGGCAAAGTATCTGACCAAGATGACAACATTTACCGACTTTATTGCGTGCGCCGAGCACTTGGTGGCCACCAAGGTCACGTCCCCCAGCCACATGACGTGCGAAGGCCGCAGCGCTGGCGGGTTGCTCATGGGAGCGGTGTTGAACCTGCGTCCGGACTTGTTTACGGCGGTACGTTGTCGTTTTGCCACGTCATAGCTTGGATAATGTATGTCTCTTGCGAGTAGGCGGTGGCGGGAGTGCCGTTTGTGGACGTGATGAACAGCATGTGCGACGCCACGATTCCGCTCACGACCGGCGAGTGGGCCGAGTGGGGCAACCCGAACGAACTCGAGTACTTTTCGTACATGTTGCAGTATTCACCGTACGTTTGATCTCAAAATTCATAGCTACTTTATGTTAGCCGAACCGTATGATACAACTTGTAACGGATATGTAGCTACGAAAATGTCAAGGCCCAAGCGTACCCCAACCTGCTCGTGACCGGTGGCCTCTTTGATCCCCGCGTGGCGTATTGGGAACCCACGAAATGGGTAAGTTAATTGTCTGTTATGAATAAATGGGGGCGGTAGTTTTTGTCCGTTATGAGTTATATATACCGGTATGATGCGATTTTGAACTGTGGTGGATGTGTACTTATTATAGGTGGCGAAGTTGCGTGACTTGAAGACCGACAACAACCAGGTGCTGCTCAAGATGGATCTGGACGCTGGGCACTTCAGTGCGAGCGATCGATACCATTACCTCAAGGAGAAGGCGGTGGACCTCAGCTTCATCTTGGACCAGCTCAAGTGCCTCGAAAAGTAGTAGTAACCCACGTACAGTCCACTTTACAACAATATAGCAAGAATATTCTGTTATTTTGTGTGTGAGAGTTAAGGGGATGTCTGGGTTGGCTATGGAGCTTTCGGATGCGAAGGTGTTGACGGTGCAGATGTTGGGGAGGACGAGGACTTGCCTCGCTCGATGGCTTCGAGGATGCACTGCTTGTAGTCGTCTGACTCTTGGACGCAGTCTGCCTGTTCAAAGTGACCTGCGAGCAGCCGGTCGAACCACACGCCATAACATGCCTTCGCCCTCGCGTTGAACTCGTCGCATGCCTTCAGGGCGTCCATGATAATTCCTCGGTCGTTCAAAATGGTCCAATCAAACCTGAGAAACACAGTGCCAGCATTATCCGGATAATATTACATAGTAGTACAACTTACTGTTATTAACCCTAATGGACGGAGGCTACTTCGGCGTGATAGTACTACTATTAATAACAGTACAGTACTGGTATTAAAATACCAGTACAGTAAGGTGGTCACAAATAACGTTACTATTAATAACCTATTGGACTACTACCAATAGTATTTTAATACTACTGGACGGGCCGATACTAACTTATTGTTATGAGCATCTCCACATCGCTGGCATTCAAACGAATAGCATTCGACCGTTTCGGTCATAATTTTAGGTGTACTACGTACTGGTGAAATGAAACTGAAATTACGCGGTATTTACAAGCTCGCTATCGCCCGAGCGCGCGCATATGCAGCAGCGCCCGCGAACTAGACTAATCTAGCGGATGGAGCTTGTGCACGCTCACACCGGGGTGGTTCGTGCAGCGGCCTCAGTCTGTCGGGCCATCGTTAGTGTGCGGTGTGCATTGGGACTTGTCAAAGCCTACGGGTTCGCTATTGTGGTTTCGTCGGGTTAGCCTCAGCGGCTACTGACGCCGAATGTGGTAGATAGGTTTGCATGGAGGCCGTCGCGGCCCTACAAGATGTATAGGACGGAGCTTGTTGTGGGCGCTGACAGCGGTAATGTCACCGAGCTGGAGTAGGCCACTCGGTGTTGGGGAACGGCTCGTGCTGAGCGAGTGGTGGTTGCGGTGAGCTGTTGGTGGCTTAAGCATAAGGTCGACGACATGGTTATAAATACCGGGCTTCTTAGCCATGCCATGCCCTCGGTCGATATTGGGGATAGTGTATATAGAATATGGAACTGGCACGCGTGCACCAGGCAAGTGCGAGATGGTGGGACACAGCGGTTTGCTGTAGTCCGTGTGTACATCCGTCGGTGTCGGCAACGGTTTCGGTGATGTCATGTTCGGCCGGGGTGTCCATGCCGTGTCATTGGGTGGCGGCAGCCAGTGACTGATTCGGAACAGGTGGGGGTTGGGTTGGATGGCAGCATGCGCCGTCATGTCGGCGGTATTCCGGTTCGTGAACCGGTTGTGCCGTGCTACCAGTGGGTTTAGCTTGGGTGCTGTGGTCGGACACATCGGTATGCTTTTGTTTGCATCGTCGTCCGTCGGTGTCGGTGACGGTTTTATCGGAGGTGCCCAAGCCGTGACAGTGGGCGCCGGCAGCCAGTGACGGATGGGGAACACGAGTGAATTCAATGGTGGACACGGTTGGGTCAATGAGAAGGCAGGATTTGGGTCCGGTCGAACCAGATTGGCTGGTTGGCCAGGCCGGTGTTCGTCGGCTTTCCGGGCCGCGTGAAGATGGAAGGATGGTTCGGCCGTATGAAATGAGCAGCGTACATCGAGGGGATCGAGCCCCGGAGGACAGAACATGATGGGGCTTGTGTTGGTAAACAGAGGACCCCATTTTAGAGACGTTGCCTCGGCCCGTTCCTTGGTCATGGGTACTTGGTGGTCCATGACTTCGTTCCAAAACTTGAGCTCATCCCGTATTTCCGCTGCGTCGTCGGGATGCTCCTGCATGTAAGTAGCTACACGAAGGCTGCCCGCTGACATAGCTTTCTGGTTGCCTGCGGCGCGCTGCCTGTGGCCTGGGTCCGTTGCAGGAGGGTTTGTCAAGGTGTTGGCCAGTCGGGGCGCCGCGCCCCAATGTGCACGACCAGGTAAAAAACGGGAATCCTACTGGTATGGTGCACGTCATCTATAAACTACCAACTTTTCACAAAATTTTCTGACTTCTATTTCATATTCATTACTCAAAATTGCAGCAAATTGAGACGTATCATCGACAGATCTCAATGTGGTGAAGAAATTCTACGTCTCAGATTCAAATTTTGTGATGAATTGGTCCAGAAATAGATATTTAAG